AAACTCATTGAATCAAATTTGTGAGCTAAAGTCTTCACATACAAATCACTGTACTTACCAAGTCATGTATTATAACCAGAGTTTTTTTTTATAGGGAGAGCGTGATACTTGTGTATAGATCTATATTGGGATTGAAAATCCCGCACCTAAGCTGCTTGCAACAGTTAGACCGGCAGGTCTCGAGTGACAAATGTCATAACATTCTGATGCCTGAAGAACGTCGTAACATGTCATCTATGTTGTTTGCACGGTTATAATAACTCACAGAGGGAAACAACGAAGCATATAGTTTACGGAGATACATTCACTCAAACAGTTTTATATAATTTAAAACTGCATACACTATTATAAGTATAGAAAATACATGTACATTTCGGTCTTTGGGTCTTAAGATTGCACCTCATTTTACAAGGAAAATATTTGATTTTTCTGGAACATACACTACTTTTATAAAGAAAGGATTTCAGCTTTGCATACAAAAGTTTATGAACTCACCAACTTAATTGTTGACACTATTTCAAAATTACTTGTATTCTCAGGTAAACACTAAAACAAGTAACTATCAACTTTTGAGGATAAGACGCCCTGTCGTCAGACAAATCATTTTTATTATCATATTGTAATTGATTTTGAAACATGTAACTCATGAAACAATGTAGCCTTTTCAATTATATTTATGATGGTTGTATTTGTTTTGGTCACTATTATACTCGTTGTTATGATACTATACATGATGTCATCCACCCCCGGAAGTTTCCGCCATCCTAGTTTGGGGGTGTGACACGAGCCTTCACCAACGTGAGAGACATAGGCGTGACAGTTATGGTGCAGAGTAGAGCCATAATATCCTCACCAAGGGATAACATCCCGATGAGCGTGGGACCATTCAGAGTGTCCTACGTGCTCGTCAGACGATAGCCACGATCTCTATAATAACTGTAAGATCCTCCTATAGCCAATGAGGAGAAGGTGCAAAAAGGACATGACGAAGGATCTTACAGTAGGAGTCCGCCACATCACGCCCCACGAAGGAATGTCCAACATAATTCGTTGAGGTCCACATGCCTTTGAAACTAGGTATAAAAGGATCCTTCTTCCTCGTGAAGAGGGGGACTCTTTTTCTAGTGAATATTCTTTCTCTTCTCTGAAAGCAAGCACTAACTAGATGGTTGGAGCTTTGTCCCGGGAATCCTTCCCGAACGTTGACTAACGATCTACTTTCCATTTTTTGTATTATGATATCAAGAGAGGGCCTCTACACTAAACCTACCGACAATCTCAGCACTACCGTCTTCCAATATATCACAACATCTGGCACCATCCGGGTGTATCTCTAGAACGATACACTTACGAAACAAATCCACAGAGCAACAACGGAAGGTGAAATCCCAATAGTGTCTGGAATATTGGAGAAAAGTCTGATGCGTCCGATGCAATCACTAGCGGGAGGACAACCTTCCGTTCAGGAAGAACACACATCAAACCTCACACTGGTTTCACAAACGCCACCGTGCTTACAATAGTGACGACAACAATCCACGCGACAAATCTATGGCGCCCTGCAACCGACCCAATTCCACAAGTTGCAATCGTAACTGCAACTGCAAAAATCGTTGCAACACAACCAACATGTACCCCTGTCCCACAATAATAGTCTCTCAAGCACTGGGACATGGATCCCCCATACCATCCAACCACAACCACAAATTTTCTCCACGGTCTACCCGCACACCATTATGGCAGGCTTACCCCATATGTCGCTCTACGTACAACATCAGTCGATCTTCAACTCATCTGTGCAGTAAATCCCAAGTTTGATCCATACACCAACTAAACCACAAGTCACAAACGCGTAGATCCCGGTGGATCAGGGATCCAGTTCTTCCGGATATAACATTCAATTCCAAGTTCAATCCGAAGTCAATCCCCTAGTAGCAACCCTACAACCATTCAACTCAAATGCACAGAAATACGTGGGAGCGCACTCATACACGCTTCCCCCAATAGGAAAACACGACATCCAACAATTTAGGCCTATACCAGACCTACCTCTATATCAGCCATATATCTTGCTGGTGACTATGCATAGCCGAATGTATGCAAGCCCGTACCAAATACAATAACACATGGCTTACAGCGTTATCTTATCCTCATACATGGACAATCCCATGCGAAGCACCAGCTCTAATTTTAGTCACGAGCTGTTGCAGTACGAGATTCTACACACTACGATGATCCCACACATGCCCAAATATGACAGTACCACAGATCCAGACAACCACATCGACAATTATGAATGGATGATGACTTCCATCAAGATGGATCGTCGCTTCACTTGCACTTATTTTCCTTTCACCCTCACTCGCAACGTTGGCAAGTGGTTCAAATCTCTGAGGCTAAGCAACATCTCTAGCTTTGAGCAACTGAAATACGTTTTTGTCAACATTTTCATGCAATTGAGGAAAGGCAAAGGGGATGCTAACTCTGTAATGGCATGCAATAAAAAAAAGCGGGAATCAATCCGTGAATATTATGACCCATTCACGCTGGCGACAATGAATGTTCTAGGATATGTAGTGTTCCTGGTAACAGGTGATTTCGCCCAAGGTCTACTCCCGAGGATCCTATCGAATAAGATGCAGGGAACCCTTCCCCGATCCCGTGATGAACTCAAGTTCCATGTTGAAAAATACCAAAGGCAAATCAAAGGGGAAGAGAGAAAAGAGGCCAACATCAAAGCTATAGCCAATGCATATGCAAAGCAGGAGGAGGTGGTGTCGCGTCTAATCTTGGCCCAACAGGGAAGGCAAGATGGTGACTAGCAACGACACAATCTTTGGGACGTCTTGTTCAGAGATTGGCCAATGAACCCCCCCCCCCCCCCCCCCCGCCTTTTTGCTAAAGTACGAACACCAGAATTTGTAGTCGAACAAAAGTAGTAACTAAAAACCCAGAAGGTGGGGATACAACCTAAAGATCGACAAATCAGCTCAAAACTGACGATTTTATTGACAGCGCTCGGAGTCAACTCGTCCATGGAGAAGCTATAGTAGTCCACGATCATGTTGAAAAAATCAGATGTCGGCAAACGCAACCCCGCTTCTAATAAAGGGATCGGAATTCCCACCTTCCCTTGAGGGCAGTCGTGGATTGGTACCCCCTTCGCCGAACTCATTACACCATGCTCGGGTAAGAAACCAAAACGATCCTGCAAAATCTGAAATTACTCCACAGTGGGGACTCTATCATGATGATCCATTGTCTAGAACAAATGAATGACTAACAAGGAAAATTCGTAGAATACCTAAGATGAGGCAGAGGAAGCAGATATAGAAGATAACGATGAACGATCTTGGAAAGGGGGGGGGGGAACTTTAAAGACAGAACTAGTAGCACAAACCGTCTTCCTTTTCTTGGGGCCGACGTACGATGATAACACTGTCAAAAACCTGTTCCAAGTTAGAAATAATCACAGGCATACACGTGTTGAGAAATAGGCTCGAACATTGATGCTATCAAGCCAACGCAAACGCCTACAAGACTAAGGGACTTGTTAATGTATCCCTTATAGGGAATGTCAAAAAAATAGAAGTCAACACTAGTAACGAGCATTGCCTGAGCTAAACTCAGTCGGACCAAGTCCAAATCCAAGGTCGGGCCTTCGCCAACGCGAAAGACATAGGCGTGATGGTTATGGTGTAGAGCAGCGCCATAATCTCATCACCAAGGGAGAACATCCTGGCCAGCGTGGGACCATTCAAAGTGTTCCAAATGATCTTCAGACGATAACCACGATCTCCGTAATAACTGAAAGATCCTCCTCTAGCCAATAAGGAGAAGGTGCAAAAAGGACGTGACGAAGGATCTTCCAGTTGGAGTCCGCCACGTCAAACCGCACGAAGGAATGTCCAATAGAATTGTTGAGGTCCACATGCCTCTGGAGCTAGGTATAAAAGGATCCTTCTTCCTCGCGAAGAGGGAGACTCTTTTTCCAATGGATATTCTTTCTCTTCTCTGAAAGCAACTAGATCGTCAGAGCTTCATCCCGGGAATCCCTACTGGACATTGACTAACGATCTACTTTCCATTTTTTTATTGTGATATTAGGAGAGGGCATCTCCACTAAACCTACTGGCAATCTCAGCACTACCGTCTCCAACATATCAAAACAGTAGCCAACAGTGGTCGTCGGTTGATAAGTTCGGTTATCTGATTGGAAGCACTATTAGCTATTTAGCTCTGCTACAAACAACATAAAAACACGTACATCTTTCTTTAAAACTTCTTACATTTATTCCTCTTCTCCACTCTTCAATCCATTCTTAGCAATAACTTGAAAGGATTCATCAAAATTGATCCCCTCCTTGGCCGATGTCTAAAAATATGGAATGTTTCCTTTTGAGGCATAACAAACCCATGCCTTTTTATCTGAAACATGAGGCATTATTTTAAATTTATTATAATAATCACCACCTACAAATCAATTTCAGAAAATAATTTTATCCACATAAACTTTGTTTCCAAGAACTACAAATGGGAAATTTTCAAGATCCGAAAGGCTCGCCTACAACCCATTTTATCTAATCAACTATTATTATTATTATTATTATTATTATTATTATTATTATTATTATTATTATTATTATTATCATAACAAAGTAATATTCGGTGGATAAATCAATAGAAAAGATAATATCATCTAGTCATTTTATTGATTAACCTTTTTTGAAAGGATCAAAAAAGTAAAAAGATGTGATCATTAGAATATAGTTTTGTCACTAAAATAATTACATTGTGAAAGTAGGTTGTGTTTTTCTGTATATTGTTGCCCTTTTACATTTCAAACATATAAAAATTTGATCTGTAAAATGCTAATGTTAGCAAACCTGAATAAGGAATTCCTACCTCCAGTTGTTGAGATCATCAAATGACTTCTGAACATTCACATCATACACAAGAAGACAACAATTTGAACCATGATAAAAAGCAACTCCAAGGCTCTAAAATCTTTCATGTCCAGCTGTATCCCAGATCTGCAACAACCACTACTTATCAAATTACAAATTTGGTCCTCCAACTTGTAGTTTAAGGACATTCTTAGTGCCATTCAGTAAATGAGCATCGGTAACAACTAACCTGTAGAGTGAAGAGCCTATCCTCAAATTCCACTTCTTTTGTCAAGAAATCAGCTCCTATTGTTTCCTTGTATTGATTGCTAAACTTCTTGTTCACATGCCTAAAGTTGAACATTAAGGGAAAACAATCATAATCATTGCCAACAATAGCTTCCGTGATCTTCAATGATCATATAGATTGATATAAATAAAAATTACCCAACTATCTCTATAAAAAAATTAAATGATTATATAAGTCTCAGATTCCAATACTTCAAGTTGAAATAATCAAATTTAAAACACTTTCTTGCATGCCACGTATCACACGAGCTTCATGTATTCTAAAATTTCAACTTGTTGGAGTTTTAGAGACATGAACTATATGATTGTGGATCCTATTTGATAGTTACATCCGAAGAGCAAAGGGAGAATAGAGGTGAATAGTGAAAAGCGGGTCCGTCTTGCCTACCCTGCATCACATAAAACAACAAATTCGTAAGCAAGTCAGGAAATGAAATTATCAAAATTTACATAGATATGTATGAAAAGAGATGAGTGCAAAGCAGGTCCGTCAGCAGTACATGAGAACAAAAAACCCTATGTTTCTTTATTTGAAATCTTGGTAGGTCCGTCGGTATCAACTGGCTATTTGCCCCCGCCTCCTTCTTCGGTGAATCACCAAAGCAAGTCCGTCAGCAGTTCAAAAGAACAAAAACATCTCCCAAAAGTCACAAGTAGCTGAGGAATCAGGTAGAGAAAGAAAACCTAATTGAATACTAAAGGAGGCGAGAGCAAATAATCAGGCAAAGTTTTAGACGATGCAAAATGGAGGAAGTTAAGTCCGACAAAAATTTGAGGAACTGAAAAGGTGGAGATGGACCGAATGGCTTGAGAGGTGGTGGACACAAAATAGATACCTGATCGGAAAGAACAGTGGAATGGGAAGAGAGAATAGAAATGACATTTGATCGGAGAGGCGGTGGAAAATTCAAGAAACTCGCTACGATAAACATCAACAAATCCAACGATGAACAACACGTGTCCGAAAGAATATACATAATGATATAAAATGCTCCCTAATTTATATATGAATTTAATTGAGGTGGTTATAGCTTAATCAAGTTTCTATTAGTTTTCAACTTTGAAGGATTGTTTACCGGAAATATATATTAGATATCCATATGCTTAAGTCCCATTTGTACACCTTTATATTGTTTCATGATGTATAAATACGGTTGTATAATGAACATTATTCTCTCTCTTTCTCTCTCTCACACATACACACACACACACTCTCTCTCTCTCTCTCTCTCTTTTACAACTTTTTGTCTAAATTTCAAATATTAAAGGTTAAAAATTTATTAAACTTCTTCAAAACAACTAATAACACTACATCATATACCATCTCACACATACATTCTCTCTCTTACACACCCTATTTTTCTCTCCACCTCTTTTCTTTCTTATTTTGAGAGAAAGTAACAAAACGTATTCTAAAACAAAAAGTAAATCTTGAAAAGGCAAAACATGGTAAGACGCAGCCGGCGTGAGTTAAAAGGGGGTGACTAGATAGTCAAGAAAGATGTTTGATAGTAACCAACGATGTTTTTAAGATCATGACTGGAATACAGATGCATGTCAAAGCAAGTTTTGATGATAAATTGAATAATTTATGCTTAAGATCTGGCAAAATGAGATCTGATAGCCGCTAAACAAGATCTAGTGGTGGTGGCCGGTGTAACAAGATCTGGTGATGGTTGAGGAAAATGAGAGATATATTAAGGTGCTTTTTCGATGGTAGGAAGTGGGGAAAAACCTGATCTAGAGAGAGTGAAGAGGTTGCAGTCAGGTGGATCTGGCAGCAGTAAATGTAGATACGGAGGGAGATGGTGAATAAGTAAATATGGAGAGAGTGAAGAAGCGCCACTTTGGTGGTTCAGGTGGCGTTGCGGTGGTTGTGGTAGCATGGCGGTGGTTCCTGTAATGGTCCGATGATCATCATTATAATCCAGATCTAGCATTAGGATGAGAGAGAAAAGAAAAGGTGGAGAGAGAAAGAGGGTATGTGAGAGAGAAAGAAAGAGAAAGAGAGAATGTGTGTGTGAGAGAGTATGTGATGTATTGTTATCAGTTGTTTTGAAAAAGTTTAATAAAATTTGAAACTTTAATATTTAAATTTTAGACAAAAAATTGTATGAGAGAGAGAGAAAAAAAGAGGTGGGGAGAGAAATAGGGTGATAGAGAGAGAGAATATGTGTGTGTGAGAGAGAGTATATGACGTATTATCAATTGTTTTGAAAAAGTTTAATAAAATTTTAACCTTTAATAATTAAAATTTAGACAAAAAAATGTATAAGAGAGAGAGAGAGAGAGAGAGAGAGAGAGAGAAATGCTTATTAAACAACCGTATATATACATCAAGATGTGTGTGTGAGAGAGAGAGAGAGAGAGAGAGGGAGAGAGAGACAGAGAGAAATGTTCATTATACAACCGTATATAATATCAATTGGACCACAAAAGTATCAAAATAAATTTTTTATCCAAATAATTATTTATGAATGGTGAAAAATAAGATTTAAAAGTTTATCATCGGAACTAATAATAAAGAAAACTAAAAAAATTATATAAGAGAACAAAAACATAACTATAAAATATAATAAGAGATCAAAACATCAACTCAGTTGTGTGTGAGAGAGAACGAGTTTTAATATATATATATATATATATATATATATATATATATATATATATATATATATATATATATATATATAAATACGTACGGGTTATGAATAGTGCTTTTTTGCCATTTTAGAATTTGACTACAACAATTTAGAACCTTATCAATTTTGGTCCCCCAGCTATGCTTGGATCCTCTCTCCTACTCAATGTCACATGTTTCTTCCTCCGTTGATTGATTTATTCGTAATTTTTGGGTACTCATCATTCGTTTACTATGTCTCTCTTCTATCGCTCCAACTTCATCCAACCCATCGAACCCTAAATCAGCTCTCTCACTACCTTCAACCACCCACCACCGTCTCTGTGATGGTTCTTTCTTCAAATTTTTGTATTCGATGTTTGTCTATGTAATCTGGTGACATCGCACCACAAAAAAATGATAAACTGATAGATTGAGAGCTTGACGGAAGAAAACGACGGTGATTGAGGGATCGATGATGCAGATGGTCGGTACATGAAATAAGGTTTGAAGTTGAAGCCTCCAGTTGTTTGATTTTATAGCACATCACTAGGTTTGGCAATTTTGTTGCCCTAATTTGTTATACTCTAATTTTTCCCAACTTTAGAGTTTACGATTATCCTGCATCTTACTTATTTCCTTTCTCTTTCACCATTCAAAGGAATTTTTACCATGTTACTCTCACAACTGTGAGACATTCTTATTCGTACTGGTAAGCACAAATCCTTTCATATGATGTATATTTCGTTATGTATATTGTATATTTGTTGTTTTTTCTTTTGGATTTAGGATTTTTATGGGTTACTTAGTTATTTGGACATGAATTAACTGTCGGTGGAACTAAGCATCTATAAAGGATGATAAAGGTGTTGTGTTGTAGTTTATATGTTTTTCATTTGTCTTTTTCTTAGTTACAAAAGGAATGGAACTAAATTCCATTATATTAACGTTGTGTGTTGTGTCTTCAAATTGCTCGAGAAATGGTGATTAGCACTACAAATGCAAGGTTAGAGTTTGCTACTTTGACAAACAGAGTTGGATTGGTTAACAGAGCAGATACTACTAATGGGGAACTCATAAAATACATGGTATTTTCATTGTTATTATGTTTGCATATATCATATTAACGACTTCATTCTGATATGATTATTTCTATTTAGATGACTACAATTGGGTTGTTGATGTTGTTGCAGTTCGTATGAGGTTGAAAAGTATTTTGACTTTTTCACATGCTGATTACAATTATGCAGTTTTCATCGGCTGATTGGATTTATTTTGTAGCTTATCCAAGTAACCTATTATTATTTACAATTATTTAGCATTTTTATGTATAGTAGTTATTGGAAATTATAGAGGAAATTTGCAAGTTGGTAAGTTTCCACCATCCCACATTGGTTAAGGAAGAAACTTTTAATGGGTTTATATGTTTATTCCCTTGTTAAGCCTTCAAAGGCTTTAGTGGATCAAAGAATGGGCCAAGCCCACGCGCACGCCTAGCCTAGCACTTTCTGACATCGTGAGCGCACGACGCATCGGTTGCTAAGGAGCTTTTATTTTTGGCAAGTTCGTCCCCTTGGGTTTCTAGGGGCCGGCCTATACGAGTCCGTTTCATGCCTCCTAGGGTTTCGACACCTATAAATACTGCTCCCTAGGAACCGTATTGACTACTCACGAAAATCAAAACTCTCTCCCACTCTCCGCGTTTTTCCTTCCAGTTTCCGAGTATTCGCTTTGTGTTTATCAATTTGCAGTGTTGTTGGAAAATCAATAGATCTACATTAAATCTTGGGGTTTTACTCTGTTGCTTACAACCAGTAGAAGCGACGTAAAAAACCTTTAAGAACAGGAGTCCAATCCGTGCAGTTATTTGAAGTTCAAGATCAGCCATTGACAGGTCGGGTTTTATATTTTCTGTCTTGCATTTAATTTCGTCCAACAACAGGACGATCTTCTTCTACTTTTCTTATAATCAGATCTAATCGAGAATGATTAATCTAGTTTTGGATGAAACTTGGTAAATATAATTATAATAATTTGATATTTTTTTCGCAACTAATCAACATATAATTCTCAATATTATTTGTCGGCTTCCTTGTGTGTCTATTAGTTTGATTTACAACAGTAGTTTTAGAAGCCACTAATTATAACACTGTACTTTGTTTTATTTCTTTTTAAAGTATATGCTACTTTCACTTTACTTATTTTAACCTATTGGGTAAAATGTGTCCAACGAAAGTTGCTACACATGAAGATGCTATTATCCCTAATAATCCAACTTTTGTTGCTACACATGAAGAGATTATTATCCCTAATAATTTAACTGATAAGTAAACCAATAAAATTCATGCCTAAACTTATACCGATAACAAACAATAGAATACACGCACAAAAAAAAAAAAAGAAACATCTCGTTGTGAAGCGCATATATATATATATATATATATATATATATATATATATATATATATATATATATATATATATATATATATATATATATATATATATATCCTAGTTAATAATAATAATAGTTAAAAATAACAATAATTTAGAATTTATATTTAACTAAAAGTTAAAAGTTAAATATATAAAGATAAATTTTAGTACTTTTAAGAAAAAGTTTGTATTTGAAAAAGGTATTACAGTTAAAATCATTAAAGTAGTACTTTTAAATTATATAACTCTAGCAAAAGGTAAAAAAAATATATATCAAATGAAACATGTGAATAAATGTTATTGCCAATTTGAGATCACATAGTTCCAAATAAGTATTTATTTTGGTACCATTGTATGTAAGATAATAGATTGTTTCATTGATAAATAGTGATGTTAAACCTTATATAACTAGAGTTACATACGAGACCTAATGTAAACCCTAAAGAACTTGGGCCTAAAACCTAATCACTAACATCCCCTCCGCAGTTTGATTGGGAGGGGACGATTAAACTAGAAAAACAAAAACATAAAACATAACATAAATGAAGACAATGACAACGGCGGTGGTAGAGCTCTAACGATGACAGCTAACAACTGCTTGTCGGAGAATGAGAGAGAAGAAGTGATGGCAACAACAGTTCCTTTGTATAAGAAGAGAGGAGAGGCGGCGAGGATAACGATCATGCAACCGGTGGTAGAGGGATCCAAAGAAAGGCAACGAGAAAGAAAGAGGGCTCGAGTTGCGGCGGACAGAGTCAATTCCGACGAGATCGACAACTGCAATGTTGATAGAGAAAGAAACGACTACAGATCAGTGGCTGCCCGATAGAGATCAAAAGGGGATGAATCGGAAAAAGAGATATGAAAAAGTGACTAGCCGAGGAGGAGGCTGAAGGAGACGAGGCAGTAGAAGAAGCCGGTGAAAAGGCTCTGGTTTGGTGTCATCCGGCTGTTTTATTATTTAGACGGAAAAGAGAAGAAACAAAAAAATAAGGAACATAATGACGGCGCCTCCGACGACTATTAGAGAAGGTCGCCGAAGGTGGAGGGCGGCGAATACGGGTTATGGTCAGAAGTAATGTTTAATCTAAAGCTCTGATACCATGTAAGATAATAGATTGTTTCATTGGTAAATAGTAAGGTTAAACCTTATATAAATAGGAAAATAAGGAACATAATGACGACACATCTGACAACTATTAGAGAAGGTCGCCGAAGATAGAGGGCGACGACTACATGTTGTGGTCAAAAGTAAGGTTTAATCTAGAGCTATGATATCATGTAAGATAATAGATTGTTTCATTGGTAAATAGTAAGGTTAAACCTCATATAAATAAGGTTAATCTAAACCCTAAAAGGCTTGGGTATTAAAACCATTGTAATTTAAATTTAATTTTATGATTTTCATTCGTTTATTATAACCATTAAGAATTGTACATGACCTTCTATCCTTGTGTTAAATATCTGTTTTTTCATATATTTCAAGATAGTAACAATATTTTATATTTAATTTATAATTTAGTATGATGAAAATAAATTAATTATTTAACAAACTAAATTTATTAATATTATAAATATATAATTTACTTTTCTATAACACACAGCGGTTAGGAATGGTTTGATTTATGGCATTCGTAGATTTTTTGGTTTGAATGTTGTTTGCTCTAAACCGAAGTCCCAACCAAACTAAATTGAGGCAATTCAGAGCAAACTAAAAACCAAATTACAATTTGGTTTGAAAATCAAGAAAACAAATTATTAATAATAAAAAATAAAATCCAAAGTTTCAAACATAAAATACAAAATTCGAAATCAAACATTAATGCCAAAGTTCAAAACCAAAATTTTAAGGTATTTATATATTTATCAATAAAATTTCTTATG